CTTCACCCTTAAAGAAGCCTTTGGTGAATCCTTAAGGAGGAAGTAATGATTTTCATAGTGGAAGGAATCAAATCGTGATTGATTTGGCTTATAAGTCTTACGATTTTTGAATGTAGGTTTCTCTTAAAGTAGGGTTCAGGCCATATGGCATGGGTAGACTAATGCTGCATGTGATGAGATGCTGTAGCATAGACCCCAGGGAGGTTCCAGCATACACACTAGCTTTTAAGTACTAGGTCTAATTGAATGCCACTGGCTTAATTAGTATATTGAACATGATTGGTTTGATGAATTTCCTTCAGTTTTCGTCTCAAATTTCAGTCCACTGCAAAACATTTCCTTTATCTATTTTGGAGCAAGTAGAAGCATTCAGAATGACGTGGAAGACACCAGGCAAGTAGAGAACTAACCAGGGGGATCAGTACTCTGGATTTTCTGAACCCAAGATTTAAGTCAGAAACTTTCCAGTTGAATTGTTTTTATCATTTTCTTTAATATCATTTCCTTCCATTGTTGCCATTATTTGTAATTTGAAGCATATTAAGACACCAGGCAAGTAGAGAACTAACCAGGGGGATCAGTACTCTGGATTTTCTGAATCCAAGATTTAAGTCAGAAACTTTCCAATTGAATTGTTTTTATCATTTTCTTTAATATCATTTCCTTCCATTATTGCCATTATTTGTAATTTGAAGCATATTAAAACTAGTTGAATTTTCACTTCAATAGTTTGGATTTTTTTTTTTTTTTTTTTGAAACAGGGTGTTGCTCTGTTGCCCGGGCTAGAGTGTAATGGCATCGTCATAGTTCACTGCAACCTCAAACTCCTGGGCTCAAGCTATCCTCCTGCCCTAGCCTCCCAAGTAGCTGGTACTATAGGCGTGCGCCACTGCGCCTGGCTAATTTTTCTATTTTTTGCAGAGATGGGGTCTTGCCATGTTGCCCAGGCTGGTCCTGAACTCCTGGGCTCAAGCAGTCCTCCTGCCTCAGCCTCCCAACGTGCTAGGATTACAGGCATGAGCCACCATGCTCGGCCAGTTTGGACTTTTTAAAAGAAGATTCTGTACAGAGCTAGGCTATCCAATGGATAAAGATTTGTTAAGCCTATTGTATTAATATTGTAGGACTATTACTTTACATCAAATACCCTTCTAACTCCTTGAGAAACAGAAGGAATCAAATTTTAGAGTTTGTTGGATCCTTGGAGAAAATGTAATACATGTTTTCTAGAGAGGGAAGTGAGATGTATAAGATCACACAGCTCTTATTAAGCAAAGCCCAGGAGCACATTTCCAACAAGGATACTTATTATAGAGGCTTAGTCTCTAAAGTTTATTAGGACCCTACATGACAACACTTAGAGTTTCATGCATGTTCAGTATTACATTTTAAGAGACAACATTGCTTTTAAAACTATTTAGTAAATCAGTGTTTTCTCAGTTGTTTTTGTATTTTATTTTTATTTTAATTTTTTGTAGAGATAGGGTCTCTCTATATTGCCGAGGCTGGCCTCAAACTCCTGGCCTCAAGCAATCCTCCCACCTCGGCCTCCCAGAGTGCTTCAATTACAGGTGTGAGCCACTGTGCCCATCTCATTTTCCTAATTCTAATTGGTCTTTTCCTCAGATCATTATGAATTGTTGAAATTTTCTCAGGCATAGAGGTAATTAGTAGATATTGTTGATTAGAGAAAAGGCTTTGGGTTGAGAACTGATAGAAAAATCCTAGGTCATTTATAGAAAATAGAAGATAGAAATTAATAGATAGCAAAATTGTAACAGAGAAATATTCTCAGAAAGCCAGAGAACTCTAAAGCACTGAAATGGCTGTTCCTAGGGAGTGGTCACTCACCTGCACTTGCCATGTAAACACTCGCGTTACCTACACTTGCAGGATGTGGGAGTTAAAAGAATAGAAAGTTTTATTTCTTCCCCTCTTTCATTTTATTCCTGCTGGTTAGTGGACAAATGATCTTGGACAGAAAAATCACATTAGAACTTTGACAAGTTGCTTTTTGAAATAGAGTTGTTTCCATGCCACAGACATTTGGAAAGAAGTAGGTTTATTGAAATATATTTTTATAGAAAATATTACAGAACCTGTAATTGAAAACTTATGACAATATTTTGGGGAGTGATATGTTTTTAATGTTAATTTGTGGATTTGCTTTGAACTCCCTTCTGCTGCTTTAGAACCATTGGCTGAGTGAACATTTTCCAAGAGCCTTTTCAGATCTAAACTGTGTTTCATGGAATGGAGTATTTGGTGCTTAAATAATGTATAAATCCAATTGGACAGGAGCTGCCTGTCAGTTTTATTAACTTTGACCTTTTCTCCCATTATAAAGGTGGTTCAGTAAATATTTAATGGGCCCCTTATAGATCTTGACAGTTAGAGCCATGTTCCTGGAAACTGGGATATGTATATATGATTAACAAATATCGCTTAATCATTATGAGTCAGCTTTCAAGGGCAGATTTTGTTTTGAGGGAAGAGGAGTCCTTCTGCCTATACGTGCTCTTAGAGGTGCACTGTACATTGAGAGCATCCAAGATAGTACAGGTTTCAAAGGAACCCTTTAAAAGACAGCAGTTAGCATGCATTTCTGCTGTTTCATTTTTTTCTTTGTGTGAGCAAATGATACCAGGTGGATAAAATCACCCTTCCACTCTGCATAGTTATTAGCAGGACTCTTCCACTCAAGAGAGTCAGCAGGGCTGGATTGGCTGAGCTTGCATGGACCCTAGTAAAACCCAACAAAGAACAGCCAAAAGGAGAGACGACTCCTTGAGCCAGAAGGCGGCCCTTGCCAAGCTGTCTTTCCCTGTAATTCCATAAAGCCCCATGCATATTGCACTCATTGCAGATTCTGGTGAGGAAGATCGAAACCCAAGTAGCTGACATTTTGAAACATTGTCTTTCAAACTTGTGCTGTCTCTTGCTTCCATTGATTTTCCATTTAAGAATCTGTAGGAAAAAAGCAAATTTGAGCAAAATTTATTGGTCTAAGATAAGTTGTTAGAGCCAAATTATGCCCCCCTTTTCCACCCTGAAAACTGTTCCATTTTTATTATGAATGTGATGTATCTTTGTCTTGTGTTGGGCAGCCATCAGGCTCCTGCATCAAATCGACCAAGTAAATCAAGAGCCTGTTAAAAAGCAATATGGATGCTCCAAACACAGACATTTCAGTCTTACTGGGTCACTGGATATCTTCATTTTTATAGCCATTTTCCAGGAGCAGATCATTTCAATTGGTTTTGTTTTCTTCACTCTCTGTTTATGTGTAGCCCAGTGGCTTTAGGTGAGGCCATTTATTTTTCAGGACATTATTACCGTTTGCTTCCAGGGCCCAGCCCCTTTTATATGGTGGTCACTAGTTTCATTACCATGAGCTGTAATGTAGCTGACTCGGCAGAGAAAATCTATGCCTTGGAAGAGCATTTTGAGAAGAAATTGATTCAGAGCTTTAGAATGAATGACTATTTGTATGTTTAGTTGATTCTGAATAAATGTTTAAAAGACCTTGCTTGATTTGAGAAGAGAGGAAGAAACATATTGGATGTTATAAATGGTCTCAATCCAAATTCTTAAGTTGGCATTTTCACATTTGAATGTTTTATTTACATCTGTTCAAAATTGGGATACCTTTCAAGGATAATTTTATTATAGAGAGACTGATGACAGCTCTTATCTAAAATACAAAAGTATGGAATTAGAAAAAGAAGGTGAAAGTCATTATCACATGTCAAATTGGACATAAGCTTCATTTGGCAAGGAGTAAGAATGATGAGTTGTATTTTAAATCCAGATTTCCTGATGGTGGGAGTTAGGGGATCGACTGCATTAGGGCACAAGGGTGCTTTCTGCTGTGATGGAAAATTTTTATACCTTGACTGAGGTGGTGATTACACAGGTATATATATTTGTCAAAATCATCAAACTGTATGCTTAAATGTGTGCATTATATTTTATGTAAATTAGAGTTCAATAAAGTGGACTTTTGAAAAGTCCTGTTTGGTTTAGAACCAGGCAGTATCATTTCTCTTTCCCAACAGAGAAATGGAAGTATAAAGAAGTAAAATGGTCTTTCCTAAGTAACCCTGAGGCTCAGCAGTTTGTCCAGGAATAAAGCAATAGGTGCTGGCACTGAACCCACTTAAAGCATGCTGCCTCCTTACCCCTAATACGTTGTTCCAGTTGCATGTACATGGAAGTGAAATCAACTTCTTTACCCAGTTCTCTTTAATGAGCCTATATCCATTTGTATACCTGTTTATTCATGAGCTTGTTCTTATGATTGATATTTGTACCTTAACCAATGAAAATGGTAGTCCAGTGTTCTGAATGCTTACTCATAGTACGTGTAAATCTGTGTATGATAAGCTGTGTTGTGGTCATGGCTTACCACAGTAGACTGTGAGTTCTATGGTTTTTATTGTAAGTTAGACACAATAGTAGCAGTAGTTCCCAGAACTAAATTTATCTGTAAGGGAAACCCCTGGATCTTCTTATAAAAAATGATGAAGGCTTTACAGCTATTTACACAAAGCATATATGAATAGTAATGAAAAATAAAGAGGAGAGTAAAAATTACCCAAATTCTGCTACTTAAAAGGACAGCATTTTAGAGAACATATTTTAAAGTGCCTTTCTGTTTACTGTGTAACCCGTATTTTTTAAATTCAACAAAATGATGTTGTGAAGTTCTTTCTATATTTTAACCAATTCCCCAGATCGCTGTTGGACATTCTGATTGCTTCCAGTTTTTCATCATTATGCAATGCTGTGATGAACAACCTTATTCTTGTTTTTCTCCCTCTTTGTCTCGTTATCTTCTTATGGACAAATTCCTTGAAGCAGAATGTTATCAGCTGTATTTGAAGTTACTTAAAATGTTCTAAGGGGATAAGATTATCAAGTACTGATAGCTTAATACCCTTTGTCCTGCTCGTACCAAAAGCTATTTTTCTTCCCTTTGGTTTCGTTTCTCTCTACAGCTGCAGTACCACGCAGGTCTAGCGTCTGGCCTTTTGAATCAACAGTCACTGAAGCGTTCCGCTAATCAGATGGGAGTATCTGCCAAACGTAGACCAAAGGCTCAGCCCACGACTCTCGTCTTACCACCTCAGTAAGTGATGGGTTTGAAAAATTACTTTAGTCCTGGATGAACTTTTACTTTATTCTTGTTTTTGGCTGGTGAGAAGTTACTGTTTTTTTCAAAATTGTTTCTTACTTTTAAAAAGGTACCTATCTATCAGGATTAGAAACCAAGCATGACAGTAACATAATAATTTGCCTAGATTTTTATGTAGCAGCTGTCATGCAGTTCATATTGTATGTATTTTGTGTGTGACTTTCCTATCTAGGATTTGAAGATATCCGATAGCTTATTTGTTTCTGTATCACATTCCCAAAGGAGGCAGAAATGAGTACGCTATCCTTATTTCACAGCTGAGATAGCTGAGGAGCACATTCTGATAAGCTACAGACCACCTAGAGAATCTGCTAGAGCTGGGATTAGAATCAGTGCTGAGCTCACTTGTTTTTTGTTAAATAGTAATATTAATATATGTGCTCTTCTTTCTCCCAGTAGGAGGGATAACAGATACAGTAAGGATCAGAGAGTGTACAGCTTACTGATTTTTTCACACATGTGTACGTCCATGTAGCCACCACTTTCAGAATCCCATAAGGGTTCCTCCTTGTGTTCCTAGTCTATACCTGTGCTGCCCTCCTCCTCAAGTTTAACACTATTCCGATTTCTTTAAACAGTTAAAATTGCCTGTCCTTGAACTTCATATAAATGGGATCACATAATATGTCATCTTTTGTATTAGCTTTTTTTTCACTCAACATAGTATCTGTTAGATTCATCCAATCTGTCTGTTCCTTTTTTTGTAGTGTAGCGTTCCTTTGAATGTGCCACAGTTGATTCTCCCATTTACGTGTTCAGTTATTTTGTATTAGAAGCTGTAGCAGATGAGTGCCAAAGCTCTCCAGTGATGTGGAATCAGAGATGTGGGCACGGCAGTCCTTGCTACTAGCTTGTCTGTCAGAGTGTACACTCCCCTGAGAGGGGCTGTACTCCCAAGAGACTTCAAATGCATTCACTCACCTGTCCTGCTACTCCTCTTGCAACCTCTTTTGTTTACATCCTCAGTTACAAACTGCAGTTTTACATTTCTAGTCCAAAGGAATGTTTGCATATAAGACTTGATCATTTGCCTTTGCTCAAAATCTCATTTATTTTCTGTTTGGTTAGCAAATATTTATTGTACCCACTGTGTGCCAGGCATGGTTCTAGGCCCTGGGGATATAAACATGGGCAGGACAGACATGGTCCCCTCTTCCTGAAACTTTTCATTTAATGGGAGAAAAGACAAAGCACCCTCAAACAAATTAATAATACTATAATTTTCAGCGTGATTAGTGGTAGCAAGGGAATAAAAAGAGTGGCAAGTTGTGAGGGGTGGAAGATACTACTTAAATAGGGTAGTCAAAGAAGACCTCTCCAAGGAGTCAACATGAGACAGAGACTTGGAGAATGAGGAAGAGAAAGACCAAAGAGCTGAGGGAGGAGGAGTTTACAAGGGCTGTGATTCTTCTAGGAGTCCTTTCTGTAGCCAGTGACACTCTTATACTTCTGTGATTTTCAGTCTTTCTTCACAGTTCACATTTGCTTCCAGGATAGGGTGAACATAACCAACCAGCCTCCAGCAAGTAGCTTTTGTATGCTGCATGCACTCACAGGTGCCATATTTTCCGGTCCTGACTACAGGACTAGCTAGCTTCTTTCAGTGATGCAAGACCAGAGTTTTCACTATATGGCAGAAAGCTTCTTAAGGAAAGTTACTCTATCGTTTCTCATGTGTTGATTTGGTAATTCTGCAAATCTCAACTTTCAGCTCTCTAAAGTCTATCTAATGGGCCTTGTAACTTGTCATTTTCCCTGCATGGATTGTCTACTGAGGCAAGACGTTTAGCAAGAAGTAAAAGACTTTCTAATGGTCCCATAAGACTGGAGCCAGAAAGTGTTTGTTGCTAACTCTCTCTTGACAAAAGTCAGTTCTTAGTCCATCTGTTCACCATTTGTTAATTTGCATTGGCTTGAAACCTGTTTACAGGTGACATGCTATTATGAGGACACTTAGAAACTATTTTAAGCATCAGAGCAATCAACAGACTCTGTTCTCATGCCAAAAAGAAAAAAAAAAGAGAGAAGTGTTCACAACTGTCATTATAAATTTATAATAAATCACTCAAAACACTTAGTTTCAAAGAGAAAAGTGGTTACTGTGTCTTAAGAATACAACATTGAAATGATTTCCTATACTAAGTAGCCTATTTCCTGTGAAAATTGACGGTTGCTTTTCACATCATTGAGCTGCTGGGGCCCACATTGTCCTGAATCCCTATAGAGTGGCTGTCTAGGAGGCGGGATTTGGGTCTAAAGATGCCCATTGCACTTTGACCACCTCCTATTCGCCACTCATTATGTTTGATGTCGTCTAGAAACACAACATTGCTGCTAGCCTCAGATTTTTTTTTAAGTTAAAAAATAAAACAATAGTAGTATATACATAATGTAGACTTTTAAAATACCAAAAATAACAAAAAATAATAATACTGTCACCCTAAGAAAGTTACTAAAGTTTTGATGGATATTGTATTAGACTTTTTTCTATGCATATGTATACAATTTTTAAAAACAAAAACAATCTCCAAAGATTTTATTGTAATATTATATCATATCCCAACCTTTTATTGAATGTAGTTGTTAAATTTATGGTAACATAATTTGATCTATGGAATATTTGAATTTGCATATTAATAGCAACATTATGGTTGTATTCTGTAGAAAAGTCCTGCTTACACAATTTTTATTATAAGCACAGCATAACTATATACTAACTTTGTCATTAAGGAAATCCTTTGAACCCCCTTATAAAACACCCAAATCCTCCAATAATTATTTATTGCTTTGTAACTAATTATCCCAAAATTTAGTGCTTTAACAATGATGAGCATTATCTCTCACAATTTCTGTGGATCAGGAATCTGGGAGTGGCTTGTCTGGGTGATTATGGCGTAAAGTCTGACATAAGATTGCAAATCAGATGTTGGCCAGGGCTGCAGTCAGCTGAAGGTTCAGCTGGGTTTAGAAGCTCCACTTCTGAGGTGGCTCACTCATATGACAAGTAGCAAGTTGGTGCTGGCTGTTGGCCGGAGACCTCAGTTCCTCTCCACAGCCTACTTGAATATCATGACATGTCATCTGGTTTCTTCAGAGCCGGCAATCTGAGAGAATAAGGACCAGGTGGAGGCTATCCTTTTAATGACCTAACCTCAGAAGACACATTGCATCAATTCCACCTCATCCTATTCATTCCTAAGTCTGACTGACATTCAAGGGGAGGGAATGAGACTCTCCCTTTTGAAGCAAGAAGTGTCAGAATTTGTGGACGTATTTTAAAACCACCACATTTGCCAGTGGGGAGAGACGTTGCACAAAGGGAAGAATGGCTGAGCCTGTGAGCCCCATCCACTTACTTATTCAGTAAATATTTACTCAGAGTCTACAATTGCTTGGTTCTTTGCACTGTGCTGGGGATTCAGAGATGGATAAGGTATAATCTTGGCTTTCAGGAAGCTCTGAGTAGAGTCTGGGGAACAAACAAGTAGGAGAGCATCACAGCAACGTGTCCAGTTGACTGATGTGATCCTGCAGGGCCTGAACAGGGCCACTCAGGGAGGCCCAGCCGCACTTCACCATGTTTCTCCACTGCCCGCAGTGAAGGACGCAGGCTTTATTCTGTTCGGAGAGCTAGATGCTTTCTCGCACAGGCTTACAGGATTCTAAGGGAAGGTTTTATTTCTAAACAGTATAGGAAACTGGTGAAGGGCCAGTGGCTGGTTCCTCACATGCCCTCCTCTGCAGCTCTGTGCATCTCTTAAAGTGGTGATGGGTGGGTTTGTGTTGGCTTGTGTCAGCAGTTGGATGGCACTAATGCTACTACAACAAAACCACTGGCTTTGCTAACTGTGTCAAGTCCATGAGCATGGCAAGAATGCAGGACATTTGTACAGTGTGTTTGTTTTAAAAATGCAGTTGGCTTTAATAGTAGTAGTCTTTGGAAACTCACATTCCCCTCTGAGTTCCCATAGGATGAATGATTTGTGGGATTAATGTTCATATCTTTCTCCGCCTCCAAAGAAGCCTGTAAGAAGACAAAGACGTTGTTCATGATGAAAGAACTATTACCACGTGTTCACATTCAGAGGGCACTGATGCAGTGACATTACTTCCTTGATTCCCAAGTGTTCGGGTTAAATCAAGTCTTTTGCTGAAGGGGCAGTATCATCCCCAAGAAGAGCCTGTGTCCCCTGTTGCTGTGTGAACATTGTTGGGCTCTTCACCCTCATAGGATTGAGATCAGCCTGCAGAGTGGCTATCTTATCTGATTGATCTATGAGTTGTCTATTGAGATATCAATGTATTTGTTGTCAATAGGATGTAGCTGTGTTTATGCATGGTCTGCCTTAGATAGCAGCCTTGACTTTCTGATGTGGTTTTTGGTATGCTTTTGTGTTAACATGTAACATTGGTTGTAATCAACTTGACCAAACTGGATGGCCTGGGACTCCTGACTCTTAGCAGCTCAGCCTGATGAAATGTTGGCTTTCAGTGACGGCAGAGGTAAAAGACTGTTCTGTATCCTTACCCTGCACACCTAGATCTCATTTAGCTTGAGGGAAAACAAATAATTTTTCAGAAAGGTTATTTTTAAAAAATACTACCTCCATCCCCCAGGAGTTGTTAGGACAGGCAGTTTCTCTTGTATCAGGTTATCTTCTGTGAAAAGATCCTGCCTGTTGAATTAAAGGCACATTTCCTTTCATGGGCTTCCTTCTCTGTAGTCACTGGGGATGAGCTGTTCGTGTTCCCAGCTAAGAGCAACCCTCCCACTTGCCAACTAGGTCCCATCTCCTCTCACCTGCTCCGAGCCGTCTCTCCATTGATCTCTTTTTCCTCTCCTGTACCATCAATATTTCCCTTTCTCCTGGTCATTCCTATAGTAGACAAAACATGCTTATCCAGAAAACTATCTCCTGTAAGAACATCTGTCT